TAGTTGCAGCCAGAGTGCTGTGGTCCATGTCTCTACATCCAGGAGGGGCCAGTGACAAACAGTGTCTCCCAGGCATCCGTCTTGGGACTGGTGTTTTTCCATGTCTTTACCAATGACACAGACAGTGGGATCAAGTGTATTCTCAACAAGTTTGCAGATGATTCCAAGCTCAGCGGTGCAATTGATACAACAGAAGGAAGGGATGCCATCCGAAGAGACCTAGACAAGCTTCAAAAGTGGGCCCAGGTGAACCTAATGAGGTTCAACAAGGCACGGTGCAAGGTGTTGTGTTTGGGCTGGGGCAACACCAGATATGCATACAGACTGGGAGAAGAACTATTTGAGAACAGACCTATGGGGAAAGAGTTGGAGGTCCTGGTGGATGAAAAGCTGGACATGAGCCAGCAGTGTCTGCTTGCAGCCCAGAAGGCCAACAGTATCCTGAGCTGCATCAAAAGAGTGGTGGCAGCAGATAGACAGAGGGGATTGTCCCCATCTATTCTGCCCTTGTGAGGCCCCATCTGCAGTACCTGGCCTGGGGCCCCCAGAACAAGAAACATGTGGAGCTGCTGGAGTGAGTCCAGAAGAGGGCCATGCCCAAAGGACATAAAGTCCTTTTCAGTGTTTTGTAATTTTCTATTTGCAGCCTCTTGTGACCCAGTTTGAAAGAGCAGGAGCGGATAGTAGTCCTCCAGGTTTACCATATCTGATACCCAGTTCCTGATGTCCCAAATGTACTGAAAAAGCACTTTTTCTATCATCTCTTTACTTTATTGCAACTATATACCAAGTTATCTCCAGTGCAGCTGCTGTGAACAAGTTCATAAGTAGCTGTGAAATGAAAGTCCAAGGCAGAGGAGCATCAGCCCATCCACTGAGCCAAAATCCCAGCAGAAGCAGGGACATGTGGAGGGAGTGCGACAGCTCCAGGTTAGCTGTCAATCCCTATCACTCCACACCTGCTGCACAGAAACCACTTGTATAACTAACCCTGTGAAGTGCCTAGCAGCAAGTAGTTCTCAACAGTGACTGTAAAATCACACAGGGCAGCACTTCTGACACAAAGGAGACCAAAGATACGGAGACAAAGAAGAATGCAAAGAAGAACAATGCTTTCTGCCAAACAAGCTTTGATAAATACCCATGGAGATGAAGTGCTTGCATATCCCTGGTGCACACTTCTTTTACTTGTTGAAGAACAACACACAGAGCACTTCTCCCAGTGCAAAAGGCAAAAATGAGAATGTAGTAAACAGGTATCAAAACCAACATAAAATTTGTTTTCCTCCTGTATTACTCTGTCTGTCCCAGCATCAGAGAAAAACACAGGACCACAGCCTTCATATGTAACCACCCAGAACCATGGCATGATGCCTTGAGGTAGAAAAGGTGGAGAGCAACTGGCACTCCTGGAAGACTGAATAAATATTGTCCCAATCACATAGTTAAGAAACACCGTTCTTCTAAGGAAAAGAATCTGAGCTGAGAGAATGCACATCAAGAATGCCCAAAACTTCACAAACACAATGTTGAGAGGATTGACTTTCCTGACTCCAGCACACTGTACATTCACAGAGAAGTGTTTCTCAACCAAACAGAAGCCTGCAGGGCATAACAGCTAAAGGAAAGTCTCCTATGAGAAATACATATACCTTGGAACAAAATTGACCAGATAGAAACTTAGGATGGAGAAAAGATATAACAAATGAAAGACAAAACGAAGGTCAAAATCAAATTTCTTTTGCCATACCTTACAACAAAAAATCCAGAAAAAAAGAAGGCTGCTGCTCATAATGTAAGCTGGGAGGAGAAAGCAAAGGTGAGATTCCTGCATTTTTGCATCCTGTGCAAATTAATGCAGGACACAGCTGTAGAGACATTCCCTTAATCTGAGCTGAAGGTCTCCTATTCAAGGGCACACATCCTTAGCATGAACGTAAGCAGCTGCCAAAAAGAAGGCAAAAAGCCAACTCACAATAAATTTTCATGGAGTAGTTGCTCTCATTTAATAATATACTAATGACAAACTGACACCGTGATCGAGGGAGAAACTGAATGGGTCCACTAAAACTGCTCTGACTAAATAACTAACTGCAGCACGAAATGTTCTGCTGCTTCCATAATAACATACACAGGGGAGGAAGGAAGACGGCCGAACAGGCAGCCATGCCACCTTCTGCTCACTTCATTTCAAGCCCACTACTAATGCAGCATCTCCTGGGTGCTAACAGCATGAAAGCTTGTTGGGTATGACATTTCTATGTAGAGCAAGTAAGTAAATCAATTTCTTTCCTTCGAGATCTTCACACACTTATGGCTACGCCCCATTAGAAGCAGCAATCAAACTAGTGAGAGGAATTTTTTCCTTTTTTTGTCCCTTTTAGGAAAGTGAATGATATTTCTTTCAATAGATAGAAGCAACTCTTTTTTTTCCCTGAAGAAAAATCTCTAAGAGAAAATATTCATATGATGATTGATTGCTTCAAGCATTTTTGTTGTGGTTGTTACTGACCAATGAATGGGATATAGTCTCTGCATGAGACAGGACCTGATGAGGAATTACTAGATATGCTTATCTTGGCTACACTCTATAAATGACCTTATGAGTACATCAATCCCTCCTGACCTATCAAAATTCATTCATAAACTCATCATTCATCTCCACTAAGAGGACCATTTACTTCCATTATCCAGTTGCAAAGAACCTTTGGAGAACTAATTATTCTACTAAATGAAGAGAACTTTGACTCTGGTTGTGTCTCACACTGTCAGCTGTGCCAGCACTTTGTGAGTGAAAAACAGCTTGGAGAGTTGATGGTACTTGCCTTATTTGTCATCCCATCACCCAAACACACACGCACAGCTCTTATCCACACACAATGGAATAAGAAGCAGGTGGTCACTCTGGCTTGCCATTAGTCCATGATTTAGAGCAGGTTTTTGTGAAATTTTGTCTGATCTATCTGATAATCATCTCTCCATGTTACTGTTACTTTAGGTAACACAGGGAGGCAGGTAAGATGGTGCTGGAGGGCATAGGTAGTGAGAGGATCTGGAAACCTGAACCTGGTTTAGCTGCAATGTGCAGCTAAATTCTGGGAACTTTTCAGATTGGCTGTAATTATTTGACTGGGGAGGTTTGGGAAATACAAAGCACTGTGTGAAATAGATTAATGCAAACTTTGAGTGCAAACTTATATCGCAGCAACAGAAATCAAGAAGTCTGGTTGACATCTTCCTGCTTGGGTTTGTCTCCTTGCAAACAGCCCATCTCAGTCACTTTTTGTCTTTGATGCTCTCAGCTTTGAAAGAATAAGTTTGATTCCCTTCTAAATCAGAAACACACTCCTTCTGTAAGACTGCAAAGGAATGTAAAAGAATCAGTTGCTGCTTTATTACAAGCCTTTCTGCAACCGCCAAAAACTGCATTAAAATACTGTGGTGTGGATGTGGTGGCTGAGAAGCAAGAAAAGATTGGATAGTAAAGAGAAAAACTTCAGTGAGCAACGTGTGCCATATTTCAGAGATGTCCCTGTCCCTCCCACTTGTCTCCAGCTGAGGAAAAAAAAGGCAGCTTTTAAGTTGTTACTGCACGCATGATATACATCATATCATATATCATATCATAATAATACCATTGATTTTTAGCACGAAGAGGCTTGCTTCTCTGAGATAAGTCATGCTCTATTTGTACAAAGCAAGGCTCGGGAGCAGCCACTGTAAGGGAACAGCTTGATAAAGACAGACTCTAAAATCAAACTGCTTGTTTACACCCTCTCAGGACTGCTTATCTTTCTTTTTAGAAGAACAGTTTAGGATGGCAACATCCTTGCACCAAAACCACACCAACAAGGAAGCAAAAGGAGTTCAAGCCCAGCTCAGGGCATCTGGCTGTAAGAAAAGCTCCCACATCTCTGTTTTTGTGGATCCTAAGGAAGAATGAAGATCTTCTCGGATTCAGACACAAGTGGGAACACCTAACTTCACCCAGCCTGGAGCAGCTTTGGTGGTCTTCAATGAGAACTGCTCACTCACCACTGCCCATGCTCTGACCCAAATCCCACCTGTCAGCATCTTCCTGTATCCTCCTACTTGGCAACAAGGGCAAAACAGAACTCCTCTCCCTCATTTTCAACAGCATAACTACTACCTTTTCTGCTGTAATTTGTGGTAATAAGGTAAGCAAAAAGGACACTTTGCCCTCAGCACAAACTTTAGCATGCAAGTACTTGCGTCACCACCGCTATGGTCACTTCACATCGTTTCTAAAAATAGTTATTATTTGTAATTCACTTTTAATTTCAGTGTAAATCATATATTTTTTTTTCCTCCAAAGGAAAATAGAGAAAGAAAAAAATCATTAACATGGTAGAGATAATTATTTGGGCTTTTTTCCCCCTCTTTTCCTGGAGATGCAAAAAAAATCTGGCAAGCTTCATGCAGCCACTAAAACATCTATTGTTCACTGAAACTGACTTTAATTGATAAGGGAAGAACAATTACCAATTCGCGGTCTGGTCTGGTACCCAGACAAGAGGAGGCCAAAAGGTCATTCCAGAGTGGCTGAAAATGCCAGACACTGCACAAAAACAATTACTTCTTTTGGGCTCAATACTGAAGCCAGGTTCCTCCTTGATTTGTATTGTCTTCCTCAGAAGCAAGGAGAAAATAGTTCTTGACATATCAAATATTCTGAATATATCTAGCAGAAGCTACCACATATCTGTGACACACCTCTCACCATCACCACCCTGTCTGCTGTACTCTGTACTCCTCACACAAACTGCTCCCCAGACCTTCACTTATGCTTCTAGCAAAGCAAAATCATCAGTCAGGCTCTGCTGCTCATGCCCTTTCCTTAAGCTCCTGCCCTCACCCTGCAGAGCCTCAGGCTTCCAGCTTGCTCTTGCTTCAGCAGAGCATCTCTGTGATGCCCACATAAAGCAGATGCGATGTGCTCATTAGGGCTGAACTCGGGAGGATGTGCCCCTCATACTGACCTCTACCAGCGGCCTGGGTTTGCGCTCCACTGCAAACCTGAAGTGGCAGAGCTCGCAGAAGCTAGTGTTTGACGAGGACAACCAGTGCTCCAGACAGCTGCGGTGGATGGTCCCCAGCGTCCCCATACACTCACAAGGAGAAAGCAGGTCTTCCTGACTGCTGCCCTCGTGGCAGATCCTGCACATCGGGCGGTCATTGAAGGGACTGCTGCGGGAGGAGAGACACACTGCTGGTCAGCACACAGCCCTGCTGCCAGGGACTCCACCAATTCACAACGCAGGAAATGTCTGCAAGGTGCATGCTTTGCTCTGTGGTCAGTGCAGCAGGCTGCCAGGCTACAGCCACAGCCATGCGCATAAACTTACTTACAGGGTCTGTTGTGTGGGTGTTAAAAAGGGGAGAAAACAAACATACAGCTCTGGCAGGTGGAAGGGTCATGAGGAAATAGCTTCATTTGCTGTGAAAGCACAGTCACTCACCATTCCTTGGGACAGTCCCCCACCTGCTGCCCAAGAGTAGAAAAGAGCAGCCTGGGAAGGGAATGCCATGTCCAGCACTTTCCTCCCGCAGCCAATTCTCCTGCATTCTCTCTCAGCATCCTAGAGAAGCTGTGGGTGCCCCATACCTGGAGGCACTCAGGGCCAGGCTGAATGGGATCCCGGGCAGCCTCGTCTGGTGGGTGGTGGCCCTGTCGATTGGATGGGCTTAAGGATCACTTTCAGCTAAAGCCATTCTGTGATTTTGTGATTCTACGTGCAAAGGGTGATCCTCCTTCTAGAGAAAGCCTGGAGACTCCGAACTTAGCCAACTTCATTACCGAAGAATCTCTCTTCAGGGTGCACGGCGGCTTCCCCACTCCCGGGCTCCCCCCGCCGCAGCTGCTGGCGGTGCCTGGCGCGGCTCCTCACGGCAGCGGGGCGAAGAAGACAGCGGGGTGCACCGAAGCGGGGCGCACCGAAGCGGGGCGGAGCGCGCAGCTCCGCGCCCTCCCGCTTCCCACGGGGACGTGCAGAACCACCGGGTTTGAAAAAGTTATTGCAAATAAAGGGGGAACAGCCCTTTCGGGCCTCCGGGTCACTCACGCGGCGGGGGTGAGCTACCTCACAGCGGCCAGACGAAGGGTAGCGTCCCGCCGAAGCGCAGGGCTAGCCCCGTCCGGCGCATCTTTCCAGCTCCGCGCAGCGCAGCCGCGACCCCGCTCCCCGCCTGCACCCCGCCGCTCGCTCCCCGCGTTCCCTACCTCTGCGTGGTGAGAGTCCGCACCACGGAGGAGAGCAGCTGCCCGTCCTTGGCCGCCACCTGCATGACATACCGCGGCCGCCCGCCGCCCGGGCCAGCCGGGC